TAATATTTGTTGTCAGCTGGAGTAGAATATGATAATCTGGTGAACAGTTCTTCATCTCCTGCTCCTCCTCCTGTTCCCCAGGAGAAGGATGGAAAAGAGCAGGAGGTTGGAAGGAGAGAGATATCTCCTGGAACATTCTGCCAGGATAAGGATTTAATGTTTAGGTATAATGAATAATATAACAAAGGTGTATACAATGCTATTCTAAATAATTTCATCCTGCCCGCCATTTCTAAAATGTGGTCTGGCATTTTTTTGCTTTATAAATTACTAAAGCTATTAAGAATTTTGTCTAGATTTTAATTTATCATGATATTGTCTAATTCTGAACAAAATCATTCAAATCTCCAGTAATCTGTAGTACATACAGTACATTCTATACTACATACAGTATATTTTGTAGTACATACAGTACATTCTATACTACATACAGTATATTCTTTATAGTACATACACTATATTCTGTAGTACATACACTATATTCTGTAGTACGTACAGTACATTTTGTAGTACGTACAGTAAATTCTATAATACATACAGTACATTCTGTAGTACGTACACTACATTTTTTACTACATACAGTATATTCTGAAGTACATACAGTTGTGAACCATACCCCCTAATATAACCCTGTTGTAAAAGTCGTCTCTGACAAACTGTACCTCCGTTGAACCCGATCCGTCCACCCACCAAACCAAACATTGCCAAGGATTTTGCGCAAATATAAACAATAACCTCATGGAGCTAATAAAACTTAAAGTGCATTAAAAGAACCCATTTAAACATAATTTTCAGCGAATCATTTACAAACAAACAGTGAAATTATTTAACCAGACAAATATTTATTTTCAGAAGGAATTAAATTGCTTTAGACTTCAGTTCAAACAACTTTTCGCCGTACCACAGTTTTCTAGATTGTAAGTTCCGTACACCTAATTCACAACAGTACCTTTTAAACCTTTATTTATCAGTTCACAATAGTGCCTTTAAAACCTTTATTTATTGATTCGCAACAGTAATAAAATATGAATGCTAAACCTGCTAAACCTGCTAAACCTAGAGTTTCCCAAACCTGCCAAACCTGCTAAACCTACAAAACCTAGAATTCCAATACCTTTAAGCCTTTGTTCAATTCTCAATGGTACATGTTTCTAAACCAATTGTTCGATTCACAACAATGTTCATTTATTGATAAAACCCTTCAACTGTTTAATCTTCATTAACAATTATTATTTATATGCATGTATGCCAATGACAATTTGTATTTTGTAGGAAACCTCGTTACTGAAATATACTTTTCAAGAAGTGTGTCCGGTAGAAGAGAGTGTTTTCCTTGCCAACTTGCCTTATTTCCCTCTTTCGAGTATTATCCCTTTTGTTCAGCTCACAACAGTACATTCTATACTACATAAAGTATATTCTGTAGTACATACAGTACATTCTATACTACATGCAGTACATTCTATACAACATTCAGTATACTCTGTAGTACATACAGTACATTCTATACTACATACAGTATATTCTGTAGTACATACAGTACATTCTATACTACATACAGTACATTCTTTAGTACATAAATTACATTCTTTACATCTAATACCTCTAACGGTACATATTGATTATTAATACACTTTCTCAAATTCACTGATTAATAAATAAGGCAAATCGGTCCAGGGCTTCATGAGTTATGATTAGACATACAAACAAACAGAGATTACTACTTTATAAGTAGATCATGTATACATCGGTATATGTGAATGATACTATTCAATAGTTGTGATGCTTCCATAACTTACACTACACATGCAGACTATACCTTTATGGACAATCTTGAACCTCTGATTGAAAGGTAACTGAGTAACTTACACTACACAAGCAGACTATACCTTTTTGGACAATCTTGAATCTCGGATTAAAAGGTACAATGAATTATTGCCGTTTTCTACGCCATTGATCGATGCCATTTACAAACATCTTTTAAAATCTTTTAAAAGATTTGAAGTTGACAATGGCTAAGATCATAATTTGACAGTGACCAAGGTATTAAATTTGACAATGACCAAGATATTGAATTTGAAAATGACCAAGTTTTTGAATTTGACGATGACCAAGTTATTTGAAAATTTGACAATGACTATTGACCAAGATTTCAGATATGACAATGACCAAGACCAACTGTAATAATTTTGTAGATGGATGGGTCCTGTATCCCTAGCAGTCTACGCCCCTGGAGAAGATTTTATGAATTCAATCAAGACAATTCTGTACTTCAGGTCGCTATATTGGTGTTTTATCTTCACAGCTGCCATCTTGTTTCATTTGTTATTGTGGTTTTCAATCATCACAACAGCCATCTTGTTTCATCTGCTATTTTGGTGTTTAATCATTACAGCTGCCATCTTGTTTCATTTGCTATTCTGGTTTTTAATCATCACAACGCCATCTTGTTTCATCTGTTATTTTGGTGTTTAATCATCACAGCTGCCATCTTGTTTCATTTGCTATTTTGGTGTTTAATCTTCACTGCAGCCATCTTGTTTCATCTGCTATTTTGGTGTTTAATCTTTACAGCTTCCATCTTGTTTCATCTGCTATTTTGGTGTTTAATCTTCACAGCTGCCATCTTGTTTTATTCACTATTTTGGTTTTTAATTATCACAGCAGCTATCTTGTTTCATTCACTATTTTGTTTTTTAATTATCACAGCAGCCATCTTGTTTTATTCCCTGTTTTGTTTTTTAATTATCACAGCAGCCATCTTGTTTTATTCGATGATTTGGGTTCTTATCACTGCAGCCGGAATAATGTTTTTAAATTGGCCTAGCCACCATTTTGTTTTTAATCCCAATGGCCGCCATTTCCCAAAGCAGTAATTATTTTTTTCTTGTCATAACCGCAATTAGTTTTTAATTGTGCTTGCCGCCATTTTATTTTTAGTGCCATTTGGGGTTTAATCGTCATGGCTGCCACATTCATTTGTAATCGTCATAGTCGCAATTTGATTTTTAAATCACCACAGCTTCTATTTTTTATATTTTGGGTTAACCGCCATTTTTCCTGATGGCCATTTTTACCACTTTGTCTTCCTTTGATCCATTCAGTTAAAAAACGCATTTATTTGCTTCGTGATTGTCTTAAAGATTTTTTTTGCTTTTTATTGCCCAATACCTAAAAAAATAACTTTCCTTTACTTAATTTTTGCACATTCCTGTCTTTCAAGTAGTTTATAAACATATGTAGAAGCTGCTGTACACTCGACCAAGCGATTTAATGTGGGACATTAAAAATAAAAAAGTAACGTGTCTTGTCTAGGATGTGTTATCATAATTCTCCTTTCAATATATACCGGCGTACACATTATACTTAATACATGCAAATCATGCAAAAACACTTGAAGAGTTTAGTAAACAATTTCACCCACTCGTACTAAAGGGAAACTAAGGTAAAAGGTTGTAGAAAATCCGCGACAGGGGAACAGCTGATTTAGGGAATAAATATAAACAGACGGATAGATAGATAGTTTCGGTTGGAAATCTGGGGCCCGGGAATTCCCCCTGATTTTACAACGATAATGGCATTTATGATAAGTCACGAAATGATGAGGATTTTTCCAAATTCAAAAGGTAACAATAATTTTTCATCTTCGTATTTATAATAGAAACAAAACAGAAAAGAAGAAATATAAATATGAAAATGATGTGATATTATCGAATTTTAAATTCACATGAAGAAACGACTCTCAAACTTTGTTATATTACATAATTTTTTGGTAAAATAATTTTGAAAGGGGACAACCCCCCCCCTCCCCCGGGTCGTAGCCTACCTCGGAGTGCTTTCTCTCAGTGCATATAAATTGTTGCGAGATTTATATTTATTTAATTACCCCATTTAATTACTTTAAATACTTTAATTATACGGGAAGCGTAGAAAATGTTTTAGCTAATATTTTGTGTTTAGAAACTATACGCGGATATTGTAAAATTGCCAAAGTAATTTTGCGCAGAGTAATTATATCCTCAAGGCGTAAACAGGGGGGGGGGGCAAATTTGAACTGTAATTTCAGAACATTTGGCTTCTTGGATATCAGGCATAAATATAAGATACTTTAAAGGTACACACTGCACATACAGTTTAATTACCTTGCAAAAATAACTACTTTAGCTCTTACAAACAAAACTATAGCATCAGAACATGTTTTTCTTTGTTCTTCTTTACCCCCTCCCCCTATATACGCCCTTGATACATGATTAAGAATTACCCTATGCTATAAGGTATTGGTATAAGAATTGTGGACATACAATTTTCAACCTGAGGATTGAAGAAACTGTTGTCTTCTTTTCTCAATCAAAGTTCCAACTAACAATTTGAGTTTCAAAGTAAAATTCTTTTGATATTAGAACAGATGCATCCTACAAGGCCAATAAAAAGTATTTTTGGTGAGGAGGGGGGGGGGAGGGGTTGAAAAAAATTAAAAATTTGTTCATTTATTGTTAGATAACGACTCATTTTTTAGTTTTTTTCAATCATTTAAAAAAATTATTTTGTTTTTTAATCTCAAAATTTAATCGTTCATTTTCCATCTATTTTGTTTGTTTTTTCACTGAACGCTCGTTCAATAAAATTGCTTGTTCAGTAAAATCGTTTATTCAAAAAAATCGTTCATTCAGAAAAAAACAATAGATTTTTTAAAAAATTTGTTCCAAAAAATTGTTTGTTCATTAAAAAAAACGATAGTTTTTAAAAATCTTTTGGAAAATTTGATTGTTGGGTAAAAAAGGATAGCTTTTTCAAGTTTGCTCGAACATTTTTAAATTGTTCATGGGGTTCTTTTTCATTCTTTTTCAGAAAAAGATAATTATTTCATTTCTCTGAATGATTCACTTTGTTCGACCAGCGTGAGGTTTTTTTCTGACCGACAACCTTTTTCACGAAAAATTTCGTTCCTTCAAAAAAATGATGCACATCTCTAATCTCCTAATTTCTGTTGAACTAAATAACTTTAAAATTTAAAATAATAAATACCTTATAGTTTTGTCGCGCACTTTAAATATCAAAGAAACCTCAATGTCTTAAATCAGACCTCAACATGATGCCCATACCAAAATAATAGTACAAATATATTGCCAAATGTTTAAAAAATGTGTTGGGTAATATACAAGGTGTCCCACGAAACATGAAAGTAGCAAGATGACTTGAGAGTTGTCTTAAATTTTAATTTAATTCAGTCGTCAACCTACCTTTCCTTGTATGATTCTTGAAACAATAATCACAAAATTCTCATTGCCCTGACATTTCAAAAATGTGGCCTGCCTTTTTTGTGCTGTCAATATTACTAGAGATATTAAGAATTTCGTTCAGATTTCAATGCAATTAAACAAAAAACCATAATTGTCAAAATCACAAAAAAGGCAGAACACATTTTTGAAATTCTAAGACTGTGGTTATTTTGATATTAAAAACTTTAGAATGTTACTTCTAAAATTAGGTTTGCAAATAAATGCTTAACGATCAAAGACGACCTTTAATTCCTTGCTACTATTTTATCGGACACCCAACAGTTAGGGTTTCCGACAAATAATGTAGTTTGCAACCATTTTTCTCGAATTTTTGCACTTTTTTCGTAAAATTTAGCATTTTGTTCGCAAAAATTAATTAAGCGAAAAAATGCGTAAACGATGTAAAATATTGCGAAATAAAATTCTGCAAAAACCATAGCTGCATCAATTAATTGCGCAAAAAAAACTCTGCTCAGAGAGCTCAGAATTAAAAGTTTTATCTTAAATAATTAATAATTTCTCTTGGTATTTTTTTTGCAAAATTTTCGCATTTAACCCCCAAAAGTACTTTAACATTCCTTTGTTTTGCGTTTTTTGAGAAATTTTTGAATTTCTTATTTTGCAAAATATTTGGATTTTTTTCGCGAAACAGACTCAATCTAAATTTTTTGCAAAAACGTTTTTTTTCCAAAACATGGAGCATTTCAGGCATTAATAAAGATATCTAAATCCTCATTGTTAAAGATGAAAATCTTTCAAAAAGGGATTATAAACTGCACAGGAAGCATGCTTGAATCTCTCTAATGAAATTATAATCACCCATGCTTGAAACCTGTTACCCTTCAGAAGAATGTATATCACACTTACCGATGGGCAACATTTATGGGCCGTCTCAAGATAATAAAGTTTTTCAGGGGTTTTCAGTCATAATTATGTTACACGTAATGCGTATCACTTTCTTTCGCTTACGGAGGAGCATTACATGAAATAACATGTTAATTCCATATAAGAAAGAAAATCTAGTTTCGCGTGATTAAGACATAATTACACAAAATTACGTTATACGAAACCATTCCGTTGTCAGTACAGTTAATATTAATTCTCAGAAATGAATATATGTAGGAAAATATGTGTAAATTGAAGTTTTGCTAATTAGGCATAATTATGCAACATTTCGCGAAATTACTTTTGTAGAAATTACGAAAAATTATGGCATAATTTTGCAAAATTGAAATTTTGCAAATTACGTGTAATTATCACAAAATTTTGCAAAATTACCTTGTAGAAATTACGCCAAATTACACCATAATTTTTCTAAATTGAAGTTTCTCTAATTAGGAATAATAATCATGACATTTCGCGAAATTGTGTTGTAGAAATTACGCGAAAATATTCCGTAATTTCGCGAAATTGAAGTTTCGCCAATTACGCGTAATCCTGCAAAATTATAGGACGTACAAATTATTTCACGTAACTGCACATAATTTTGCGTAAGTGAATAATCTTTAACTTTTTACGTTGAAAAGACTAGTTTTTTATATTAAAAGTGTTTAACAAAAATTTAAGTTAATAATTAGATTGCAAAACGGTTTCCTCGATAAGTTTGCTTTTGTACTTTTTTCTTTTTGCAAATTTTTTCTCTGATCAACGAACACGACTTTTCATAATGAAAAACAGAAAGCAATTTTCAAATGTTTTAAAAAATCGTTTTGGTAAATATCTTTGGTCTGACTAAATTTTTTTTGCTTAAATAGGGTTTCCATTCGCAAAACTTTTGCGCTTTTTTTGCAGAAGAAAGTGCAAATTTTTGCTTGCATTTACATTTTGCGTGAAAAATTAACAATTTGCGCAATCATTCGCAACCTTAATTTAACACAAAATTGCACTTTTCCGCGCTTTTCTGTTCTGCACAATTTTGCAGAAAAAAAATTCTCATTAAAAGGTTGAATTATGGTGTTAACTGTATAAATTAGTTATCTATGAGATTTTACTTTTTGGCATATAATTGCAATGTTTAAAA